CGAACTAAACACATTGAAATTGATTGCCATTTTGTCCGGGAAAGGTTGGTTTCTAAGACGATTCGAACTACTTTTGTTCGTTTCTATTTGCAACTCGCAGACATTTTCACCAAAGCACTTGGTTGTGTTCCATTTCTTGCCCGTGTCCTTCTAGTTATGCATTTCACTATTTTTTTATGGCTTGGTTTCTTCAGGGGGAGTGTTGGAGGTAGAATATTTATATGTTGTTATGATTTGCTTGTGATATGTTGTAACCTGGAGTTGTTAGGATATGTATAACTGAGTCCTATTGGAATCAGTGTAGTTACTTATCTTTAGGAAGTTGTTTTACTATTTGGTAGCAGACTGTTCGGTAATAGCCGTACAGCCTATTCTATTTAAGATACATTGATGTACAGTTTTAAATCAATGGAAATACTATCAATTGATACCATTTATCAGCTTCTAATCAAAACCCAAATATATCTCCATCACAAATCTCCTCTCTAAAGGAATTTTTTTGCTAAAAATTCCTCCGGTCCTCCTTTTGTTCTTCTTTTTCGCTTTTAACGACTTGACATTTTATAGAACCCGGAACACTGTTTCTCTAAAAATTCCTCAGATATGTAGCACTTGAGTATCCGGATCCTCTCCCTCTTGTATGCTCAAAAAATTTTCTTCTAGTGAGTAACAACATGCTTAAAGTAATTACTAATATAGTATCCGGATCCTCTCCCTCTTAGTATGGGTCTGGATCACTTTTAAAAAAATTTCAACATATATCCATCTATTACACTAATTACTAATAGTTTTGGATAGTTCGAAAGGAAAAGATGTGTAAATAATTTCTTCGTTTTTGTAAATTTGTTAAAGTAAACGTAAAAAAAATTCAAAGTGGAATTTTAGTAAAACGTATTTTAATATTTTTTATTTAAAATCACAACTATTTAATTTTTTTTAATAATTTAAAATAATATTTAATCTATAAATAAGTTAAAAGAATAATTTAAAAAATATATATATAAAAGTTTGTTTCGAAGAATATTTTTCTTTATTTTTCCTCACATTATCTAGTTTACCTCAAATATATAATATATAGTATAATATAATTTTATTAGATTATTTATCTAACGTGGATCCTATTAGGCGACATTCTTTTCCATCTTTTTTCTTTTGGTAAGCTCATGGATAAAGACCAACATCATTCTTTTCCATTCTCAATTATATAATATATAGTATAATATAATCTTGTTAGATTATTTATCTAATGTGCATCCTATTAGGCCATATTCTATTCCATCCTAAATTATATAGTGTACAGTATAATATAATCTTATTAGATTATTTATCTAATGTGCATCCTATTAGGCTATATTATTTTCCATTCTCAATCTCTTATTCAATTTGTTATTATCCTACATTAAATTACTATACTTAATAAATTAGATATACATTACACAAACAATTAAAAAACACAACAAAAAAAGACATAAACAGCCATTTTCTTTTCTCTTATCGTGTCTGCAGGTTGAAATAAGTTACTAGAACATTTTAAGTTAGTTGATCTAAAATTAGAGTCTGTTGAGTTCTCTTATCCTATCTGCAGACTAATTATCTTAATATAGTTTGTTAACACGTCATCCTCCTCATCTCATGTTATCTTATTTCCTTTATAAATATACAAATGAAAGATGAAAGGAAATATCAAATTGTTCAGATGATATTAGAAACAATGTCTTCCTCCTCTTCTCATAAGACTTTTCTTTACTCTTTGGCAGTGTGTTCTCTTATATTTCAATGCTATGCTGATGGTAACCTGACCTCAACACTTGTTGTAGATGGTTCCATAGGATCTGGAAGGCAAATTCCGGACACATTTTTTGGAGTATTCTATGAGGTAATTAAGTTATTATTAATTATTATATTTTTTTACATTTTTTTGGATAATGTGATCAATCTTGAGTTTACCTGTTGTTGATTAGAGTGTGTGTGTGTGTGTGTGTGTTAGTGCAATTGGAACACATTTCAAATGCAGGAGATCAATCATGCTGGTGCTGGCGGATTGTGGGCAGAGCTTGTGAGCAATAGAGGTCGATCATTTTCGTATCCTTAAACACTTGCTCATGTTTTCATGTTGTCTTTTCAGTAATATTGCTCAATCAGCTTTCAACATTTCAAAGAAAAGTTTTATTAAAAATATTTATATTTCAGGATTCGAAGCTGGAGGCACCAATGATTCCTCAAATATTTATCCATGGTCAATTATTGGAGACCAATCCTCTATACTCGTATCAACTGATCGTACCTCTTGCTTTGAACGCAATAAGAATGCATTACGTATGGAGGTTCTTTGCCAAGGGCGCTTATATTGCCCTCCCGGTGGCGTTGGTATCTCTAATCCTGGTTATTGGGGCATGGTGAGTAATGTCATATCATATCTTTCATCATATGAATTTGACCAAAAAAAAAAAGTTAAAAATTTATTTCTAAACATTTCTAATATTTATAATCAGAATATTGAGAAAGGGAAGAAGTATAAAGTAGTATTCTACGTCAAAGCACTTGATGCAATTGATCTAAGAGTTTCATTGGTCGGATCTGATGATGGTGTAAAATTGGCTTCAAGAAAAATCAGGTAATTAAGAGGAGAACATCCTTTGGAGATCATGACATTGACATTGTATATATATAAGTAATTGATTACTAATTGATGAATGTTGGCAGGGCCTTTGGACAATACGTTTCAGAGTGGAGAAGGATGGAGACTATACTGAAAGCAAGGGCTACAAATCATAATTCAAGCCTTCAAATAACAACAAAGACTAGAGGGGTTGTATGGTTAGATCAAGTGTCTGCTATGCCCATGGACACTTATATGGTATGCACGTAGGAATGTTGCCAATTCATGCATTTTTTTTTAAATTTTTTTTTTTTTTTTTTTGTTCCTTCCATTTAAGAGCATCAATTCATTAATATTCTCTTGGCACAGGGTAATGGTTTCCGAAAGGACCTTTTTCAAATGGTAGCAGATTTGAAGCCAAGATTTCTTAGATTCCCCGGTATGTGTCAAAGTTAATTATAAGTTTATTTTATATTATTTTTACCCACTTCTTTTTCCTTTTATTTTTCTTTCGGTAAACTATTTTTACCCACTTTATTGGAAAGTGTGTAGTATCCATCTATTTTCCGAGAATTTACGTATGTAATTATTAAATAGTTCGTCTAAGACGTACATAACACTATTGTTTTTTTTTCTCCTAACTGTTGCATGCATGCATTATATATAGGTGGTTGTTTTGTTGAAGGAGATTATCTTAAAAACGCATTTCGGTGGAAAGAAACGGTTGGACCATGGGAGGATAGACCGGGACACTTAAATGATATTTGGAATTATTGGACTGATGATGGATTGGGTTATTTTGAGGGCCTCCAAGTAAGTATTAATTATCCTTAATTTCTAAAATATCTTATGTTTTCCCCATTAATTGTAAAACTAATCTTTTGTTCCATGAGCAGTTAGCTGAGGATCTTGGTGCATTACCAATATGGGTCTTTAACAATGGTATATTTTATTTTTGTTCTTAAGTTTACCCTACTCACTATTAACATTTTTCTTTGGATTAATTCTAATTAATCAAATATCTCCTTTAGGTCTCAGCCATCACGACGAAATTAAAACAGCTGACATTTTACCTTTTGTGCAAGTATAATTTTCTTTCTATTTCTCTTTCATCTTTTTTCTTAATTTTTTTTATGAATTTTTATATTAACTATATTATTTTTACACCTTTGCATTAATTAACAGGAAGCACTCGATGGCATTGAGTTTGCTAGAGGTTCTCCCACATCTCAATGGGGCTCTCTTAGAGCTACCATGGGACATCCTCAACCATTTGACTTGAGATATGTTGCTGTTGGAAATGAAGATTGTGGTAAGGTTAATTATCAAGGTATGCATCTGTATTATTATTATTATTATTATTATTATTATTATTATTATTATTACATGTGCCGATCGAATGGATTGGCTAGTATTTTATGTATATGTTAAATACTTAAAACCAGCTGTCAAATTTTGCTTTATACGACTATATTTGTAACTTAAAAATCTTTAATACGTGATGGATTCAATTATTATATTTCATTATTCTTATTTGTCTTCTGTATTTTTGATTGAACAGGAAACTACCTTAAGTTCTATGATGCTATAAGACGTGCTTATCCAGATATTCAGATAATCTCAAATTGTGATGCTTCTGAAAAACCGTTAAATCACCCCGCTGATCTCTATGATTTCCATGTATTGTCCCAAGATATATAACTCCTGAATTTTCATTTTTTTTATTTATTTTCAATTTAAAAAATATTAATTTTGGATATTGGTTTGGCCACTTATTCTTAATTTTATTTTTTTTAATCAGATTTATACAAATTCTAAGGACATGTTTTATAAGTCTACCAAGTTCGATAAGGCACCACGATCCGGTCCAAAGGTTTTGGTTATGATTTTTAGTAAATTATTTATGGATTATTGATTTATTCATTTAACAACCGATCATGCTCAACTTTGAGTACTATATTGCTTTACAGGCGTTTGTTAGTGAGTATGCTGTTTGGCATGAAGATGCTAAAAAAGGAAGCCTTTTGTCTGCTGTGGCTGAAGCTGCATTCCTTATTGGACTAGAAAAGAACAGGTTCAGTTAACTGTGTTTTGATTTTTCATACTTTGTTTGATCTACAATCCTACTTATTCATCTTAATTATTATTTACATTTATTTTTCTTTGGCAGTGATCTCGTCCACATGTTCTGCTATGCACCGCTTTTTGCAAATGCAAATAACTTGAAGTAATTTTCATACTTTATCATGAAATTAAGTTCAACCTCTTTTTTTTTTCTTACGTTAATTTCATCATTTTTATTTTTTATCTTACTTTATATATGTAAATATTTTCTATTAACATATTGAATTTGTATTACCATAGGTGGATTCCGGATGCAATTGTATTTAACTCTTATCAGCTTTATGCAACTCCAAGTTATTGGCTGCAGACACTTTTTAGTGAGTCCAGTGGAGCAACCTTCCTCAATTCAACACTTCAAACTGCTTCCAACTCACTTGTAGCTTCTGCAATCAAGTATATAAATTCTGTAGATAGGAAGAATTACCTCAGAATAAAGGTAATAAATATATTATGTTAAAATTTCATTAAGAATTAAAGTTAATTTAAATTTAAACTTTACCTAAAATATAGTCACGTACCCACTATATATATATATATATATCCACCAATTGGAGTTATTTACTTTTGCAGGTAGTGAATTTTGGAAGTGGCAGCGAGAACTTGAGGATTTCTATAAATGGATTGAATTCAAACGTGCAACTACCTGGCTCGACAATGACAGTGCTAACCTCAACCAATGTAATGGATGAAAATTCCTTCTCCGAGCCATATAAGGTAGTATATATATGTTTTTCTAAATTACGCATGTATATGTTTCACCAAATATATATTATATATACATATATATACTTGAGAGAGTTATCTTATATACGCTATTGGTTCATTTTGAAAACAGATTGCGCCACGACAAACTTCACTTGACAACGCAAGCACGAACATGAATGTCATTCTTCCTCCACATTCAGTTACATCATTTGATCTATTAACATAGACAAGGGAGGAATGTTTCCTTTATAAATACACAAATGACACCGAATTATGGAAGGATACATTGTATATATGTATATGTATGCAAGTATATAACATACATTGTTATGATCTTCTATATTAATTTGATTTACATATTTTGAACATTGATTGTGCCACACCACAATGAACTTCACTTTAGGAATACTTGCAAGGACACGAATGTTATTCTCTCTCCCCATTTGCGTTACGTCATTTGATCTTATCTTAATAAGATAGACAACTGAGCAATGTTCCCTTAGTAAATATTCAAGTGAAAGTTAAAAAAGAATATCCGTTATAAGATAGACAATGGAGGAATATTTCCAAGAATAAATATACAAGTGAAAGTGTAAGAAAAGATAAATTTAATTTGTTCATAGCATATTATTAAAAACATGAGAAATGTTATACTTATAACCTATTTTCGTTTACAACCTCTTATAACCATATCTTAACATTTGATTTTCGCCAATCAACGGTTATTATTTTCGTAAATCAAACTCATTAATTAATTATTAATTCGCAATAAATGATAAATGTTGATGGGCGGAAATTAACGGTTAAGATATGACTGTAAGAGGTTATAAACGAAAATAGATTGTAAGTATAACCTTCCTCTAAAAAAATTATCTTTCTTTTCTTTTTATGAGATTTATTTCATTACTAAAAATGGATGTGTGAACATCTAATTTTGTCCCAAATATTTAAAAATGACAAAAAAATTATTTAAATTGTGAACCCCTATTTTCCTAATAAAAATTAAGAAAAAAATTAAAATTAAAAAGGAGTATATTTCTTTTATATTTTGCAATCAGCTAATATTCAAAACAAAAAAAACAAAAAAAAGGAAAAAAGAAAAGAAAAAAGAACTAAATGCCAAAGTCCGCAAGGGTCGAGATACTCAGAGGAGAAAAAGGGAAGTTTTCAAAAGGCAGAGAAGGTGTAGAAAATGCAGCACAATGCATTTCATGAGAAAAGAAATATGACAAAGACAAATCACTTGGTCTTGCTGGCATTCATATTGACTACATTGGAGACTTCTGTTACGAATATCACAGTGAGAAGATCAACTAGGGTTAAAAGGAGTGCAACACGTCTACAAGACTATGTGGCTTAAGGTTCTTGAAGTAGGCCACGTGTGACAATAGCTTCTGTTAGTTGCTTTGATTAATTGTCTCTGTGTGTAGAGTTGCTGGTGAGTGTCAATAGATACATAGCCTTACGTGTCATTCAGATGTAAAGGGAATTGTATAAATATACTTGAACAAAGCCTATTATAGCAGTTAATAAAAATTCCTTGAGTTTTCCTTTCAATTTCTCTGTTCTTCCTCTGCCATTAGGGTTCATACCCTATTATTGGTGCTTTCATTCTTCTTCGATTTTCCTTCCATCACTGCCATGAAGGTGCAGGAATTATCGGACGAACTCAACTCGTTTCAACAACGAGTAGATTCGACTCTCGGTGAGCTTCGTCTTCAAGCTTCTGATACGAAGAATCAAATTGCTGATTTGGTGAATCAAATGCAACAATTTCAGGAAACTTTTCTGACGCGATCTGTGCATGCAAAGGATTCTTCAATGACTCCTCAGTTTTCTTCGTCGCTTTCCACACCGAAACATCATGATGTGGGAGATCAACGTGCCTTGCTTAAAGGAGTTCGTATGGAGATTCCGCTCTTTAATGGTTCGGCACCGAATGTGTGGATTTTCAAAGCTGAGCTATTCTTCCATCTCCAACACATTCCTGAAGAATCTAAGGTTCCCCTAGCTGGTATTCGCATGGAAGGTATGGCTGCCACTTGGTTTCAGTGGATGTTTAATAGTGGAACTATTAATTCTTGGAAGATTTTCACTGTAGCCTTACGCCAACGTTTTGGTACTTCCACTTTTGTAAGTCTTAAAGGTGCCTTATCTAAGCTTACTCAGACTTCAACTCTGAGTGATTATATTCAACGCTTTGAGTCCTTGGTTAATCAAGTTCCTGAATTGGATGATGATTTACTCATGCATTTTTTTGTTTCGGGACTGCAAGCTGAACTCCGTAGTGCTGTGCAATTGAGAGCACCACTCACCTTGCATCAAGCGATCCAATTGGCCATGGCTTATGATGATCATCATGGCGAGCTTCGAGTTTCTTTTGTTGCGGGTTCAAAGAAATTTTTTCCTCGAGTTTCTGTTCCTGTTGAGAATACTCCCAAAGATCAACCAAATTCTTCTTCAAACCAGACCCGACCATTGGCACTACCTCCTCCCTCAAATTATAAACGTGTACTCAATGAGGATTTACAGAGGAAACGAGAGTTAGGGCTTTGCTATACCTGCGATGAGAAATGGACCACACAACATCGATGCAAGTCTAAATTGATGTTGTTCGTTGGGGAGGAGATTTCTGATGAGGTTGATACTGAGGATGAACATATCCTTTGGCAGGCAGATTCAGGTTTGAATGAAACTACCGATGCATCATTACATGCCTTGGGTGTAAATGATCATCAACATTCCTTGACCTTCGTTACTTCCTTACACGGCACTGTTATATCTGTTTTGGTGGATTCTGGCAGCACACACAATTTTATTCAAAGTCAATTAGTTGATCAGTTTCACTTGCCCACAGTACCCTCACAGAAGCTTCGTGTCTTTCTTGGTAATGGTGAAATTTTGTTTTCAGACCGTAAATGTTTGCAAGTGCCTATTAAGTTGCAAGATGTCCTGTTTTATGTGGATTTTTGGGTTATTGAGCTCGCTACACTTCATGCCATTTTGGGTATGCCTTGGCTTGAATTACTTGGGAGAGTTACTCATGATTATAGACGGTTAACTATGGAATTTGTGTGGGAAGGATCACCTATTGTTCTTCAAGGAGTGCATTCGTTGAAGGTGACCAATTCTGCTTCAGGGGACGGCAGCCTGGATTGTGCTACGTGTTGTGCTTTGGAGTTGCTGTCAGGTGAAGCACAAGAGGCTGTTGTCAATTCCGAGCTTTTGTCACTTAAGGCTAAGATTGACTCTAGGCTATGGAATGTGATTGTGTCTTATCAGGAGGTGTTTGCTGTTTCCTCTAAGCTTCCCCCTTTTCGTGGGATGGATCATTCTATTCAATTGTTGGAAGGGACCAATCCAATTAATGTGAGGCCATATAGGTATGCTCACTGCCAAAAGACTGAAATAGAGAAACAGGTGGGGGAACTGTTGAAGTCAGGACTGATTCAGAATTCCCATAGTCCATTTTCTTCCCCAGTTTTATTGGTAAGAAAGCAAGACCACACTTGGCGGTTGTGTATAGACTATAGAGCTTTGAATGCTGCCACTATAAAGGATCGTTTTCCGATTCCCACAATTGATGAATTGTTGGATGAATTGGGCGGAGCCACTATATATTCTAAGCTGGACTTGCGGGCAGGGTATCACCAAATACGGATGAGTCCAATTGATGTGCCGAAGACTGCTTTTAGAACTCATGAAGGACACTACGAGTTCTTAGTTATGCCCTTCGGTTTAACTAATGCTCCCGCAACCTTCCAAGCTATGATGAACCACATATTCAAGCCTTACCTTCGCAAATTCATAATTGTATTTTTTGATGATATTTTGATTTTTAGCAGGTCCATCTTGGAGCATGTCGAGCACCTAAAGCTGGCTTTACAATGTTTACAACAACATCTGTTTTTTGTGAAGGTTAGCAAGTGTGCCTTCAGAGTAGATACAATTGAATATCTGGGGCATGTTGTCTCTAGGCAAGGAGTTTTTGCTAACCCAAAGAAGATTGAAGCCATGTTGCATTGGCCAGAACCTAAGTCCCTTAAACAGCTTAGAGGATTCCTTGGCTTGACGGGATACTATCGACGATTTGTTAAGGGTTATGCTTCTATAGCTCTCCCTCTCACAAATCTGTTAAAGGGTGTTGGCACTTTTTCTTGGCCCATCACAGCAGCAACAGCTTTTGGGCAACTCAAGGAGGTGATGACCTCTACTCCAGTTCTAGCTCTTCCAGATTTTGAAGCTCCTTTTGTGGTAGAAACTGATGCCTCTAATACTGGTATTGGAGCTGTTCTTTTACAACATGAAAAGCCTCTTTCATTCTTCAGCAAGAGATTGGGTACTCGTATGTCTCTTGCCTCTACATATGTGAGAGAGCTATACGCTATTGTAGTTGCCATCAAACGCTGGCGACAATACCTTCTTGGTTCTGAATTTACAATTAGAACGGATCATCAAAGCATCAAAGAAATTCTGAACCAAACAATTCAGACCCCGGAGCAACAGAAATACTTGAGCAAGCTAATGGGTTATACCTTCACCATTGAGTATAAGGCCGGCTGTTCAAACAGGGTGGCTGATGCTTTATCTCGAGTTTATGAGAACGGTTCTGTGAATGCCTTGTTGTCCCAGCCCTCCTTCGATATTTTGAATGCTGTGAGACAACAAAATATTGCAGATACTTATTTGTTGCAACTGCATCAGCACTGTCGTGATGGAGCAGTGACTGATTCCAGCATTTCCGTTCGTGGGGGTATCTTATTTCACAAGAACAGGTATCTCTTAAGTTCTGCATCTCCTTTGATTCCAGCTTTGATTAAGGAAGCCCATAGTTCCTTTGTTGGAGATCATGCTGGAGTTTTAAGAACTTTCCTTCGCCTATCATCTACTTTTTATTGGCTTTCCATGAGGCAAGATGTTAAGCAAGTGGTTCGTGAGTGCCTCATTTGTCAACAAGTTAAGCCAGAAACTTCTAAAGCTTCAGGCTTACTGCAGCCCTTACCTGTACCGGAAGGAGTATTTGAGGAGCTTTCTATGGACTTTGTTTCTGGTTTACCTGCTTTAAAAGGATTCACAACCATCATGGTAGTAGTTGACCGATTGTCCAAGTTTGCCTATTTTGGCTCACTCCCATCTTCTTATACTGCAGTTACTGTTGCCACACTGTTTTGTGATTTAATTGTGCGACACCATGGGTTCCCTCGTTCGATTTTATATGATCGTGAC